AAACAATTATATATACAAACCCCCTGTGGACACGACACAAAAAGACCCCTGTGGCCACGACACACAAAGACCCCTGTGGCCACGACACTCAGAGACCCCTGTGGCCACGACACACAAAGACCCCTGTGGTCACGACACACAGAGACCCCTGTGGCCATGACACTCAAAGACCCCTGTGGCCACGACACTCAAAGACCCCTGTGGCCACGACACACAAAGACCCCTGTGGCCACGACACTCAAAGACCCCTGTGGCCACGACACACAGAGACCCCTGTGGCCACGACACACAAAGACCCCTGTGGCCACGACACACAGAGATCCCTGTGGCCACGACACATAGAGACCCCTGTGGCCACGACACACAGAGACCCCTGTGGCCACGACACACAAAGACCCCTGTGGCCACGACACACAGAGACCCCTGTGGCCACGACACACAGAGACCCCTGTGGCCACGACACTCAAAGACCCCTGTGGCCACGACACTCAAAGACCCCTGTGGCCACGACACACAAAGACCCCTGTGGCCACGACACAAAGACCCCTGTGGTCACGACACACAAAGACCCCTGTGGCCACGACACACAAAGACCCCTGTGGCCACGACACTCAGAGACCCCTGTGGCCACGACACACAAAGACCCCTGTGGCCACGACACATAGAGACCCTTGTGGCCACGACACTCAAAGACCCCTGTGGCCACGACACACAGAGACCCCTGTGGCCATGACACTCAAAGACGCCTGTGGCCACGACACACAGAGATCCCTGTGGCCACGACACACAGAGACCCCTGTGGCCACGACACTCAAAGACCCCTGTGGCCACGACACACAGAGACCCCTGTGGCCACGACACACAGAGACCAATGTGGCCACGACACACAAAGACCCCTGTGGCCACGACACACAGAGACCCTTGTGTCCACGACACACAGAGACCCCTGTGGCCACGACACTCAGAGACCCCTGTGGCCACGACACACAAAGACCCCTGTGGCCACGACACTCAGAGACCCCTGTGGCCACGACACACAAAGACCCCTGTGGTCACGACACACAAAGATCCCTGTGACCACGACACACAGAGACCCCTGTGGTCACGACACACAGAGACCCCTGTGGCCACGACACACAAAGACCCTGTGGCCACGACACACAAAGACCCCTGTGGCCACGACACTCAAAGACCCCTGTGGCCACGACACACAGAGACCCTTGTGTCCACGACACACAGAGACCCCTGTGGCCACGACACTCAGAGACCCCTGTGGCCACGACACACAAAGACCCCTGTGGCCACGACACTCAGAGACCCCTGTGGCCACGACACACAGAGGTCCCTGTGGCCACGACACACAAAGACCCCTGTGGCCACGACACTCAGAGACCCCTGTGGCCACGACACACAGAGACCCCTATGGCCACGACACACAGAGACCCCTGTGTCCACGACACACAAAGACCCCTGTGGCCACGACACACAAAGACCCCTGTGGCCACGACACACAGAGACCCCTGTGGCCACGACACACAGAGACCCCTGTGACCACGACACACAGAGACCCCTGTGGCCACGACACACAGAGACCCCTGTGGCCACGACACTCAGAGACCCCTGTGGCCACGACACACAGAGACCCCTGTGGCCACGACACACAAAGACCGCTGTGGCCACGACACACAAAGACCCCTGTGGCCACGACACTCAGAGACCCCTGTGGCCACGACACACAAAGACCCCTGTGGCCACGACACACAAAGACCCCTGTGGCCACGACACACAGAGACCCCTGTGACCACGACACACAGAGACCCCTGTGGCCACGACACAAAGACCCCTGTGGCCACGACACATAGAGATCCCTGTGGCCACGACACATAGAGACCCCTGTGGCCACGACACTCAGAGACGCCTGTGGCCACGACACACAGAGGTCCCTGTGGCCACGACACACAAAGACCCCTGTGGCCACGACACTCAGAGACCCCTGTGGCCACGACACACAGAGACCCCTATGGCCACGACACACAGAGACCCCTGTGGCCACGACACACAGAGACCCCTGTGGCCACGACACACAGAGACCCCTGTGGCCACGACACTCAGAGACCCCTGTGGCCACGACACACAGAGACCCCTGTGGCCACGACACACAGAGACCCCTGTGGCCACGACACACAAAGACCCCTGTGGCCACGACACTCAGAGACCCCTGTGGCCACGACACACAGAGACCCCTATGGCCACGACACACAGAGACCCCTGTGGCCACGACACACAGAGACCCCTGTGGCCACGACACACAGAGACCCCTGTGGCCACGACACTCAGAGACCCCTGTGGCCACGACACACAGAGACCCCTGTGGCCACGACACACAGAGACCCCTGTGGCCACGACACACAAAGACCCCTGTGGCCACGACACACAAAGACCCCTGTGGCCACGACACACAAAGACCCCTGTGGCCACGGCACTCAGAGACCCCTGTGGCCACGACACACAGAGACCCCTGTGGCCACGACACACAAAGACCCCTGTGGCCACGACACACAAAGACCCCTGTGGCCACGACACACAAAGACCCCTGTGGCCACGACACAAAGACCCCTGTGGCCACGACACATAGAGATCCCTGTGGCCACGACACATAGAGACCCCTGTGGCCACGACACACAAAGACCCCTGTGGCCACGACACTCAGAGACCCCTGTGGCCACGACACACAGAGACCCCTGTGGCCACGACACACAAAGACCCCTGTGGCCACGACACACAGAGACCCCTGTGGCCACGACACACAGAGACCCCTGTGGCCACGACACACAGAGACCCCTGTGGCCACGACACACAGAGACCCCTGTGGCCACGACACACAGAGACCCCTGTGGCCACGACACTCAGAGACGCCTGTGGCCACGACACACAAAGACCCCTGTGGCCACGACACACAAAGACCCCTGTGGCCACGACACTCAGAGACCCCTGTGGCCACGACACTCAAAGACCCCTGTGGCCACGACACACAGAGACCCCTGTGGCCACGACACACAAAGACCCCTGTGGCCACGACACACAGAGACCCCTGTGGCCACGACACACAAAGACCCCTGTGGCCACGACACACAGAGACCCCTGTGGCCACGACACACAAAGACCCCTGTGGCCACGACACACAGAGATCCCTGTGGCCACGACACACAGAGACCCCTGTGGCCACGACACACAAAGACCCCTGTGGCCACGACACACAAAGACCCCTGTTGCCACGACACACAAAGACCCCTGTGGCCACGACACTCAGAGACCCCTGTGGCCACGACACACAAAGACCCCTGTGGCCACGACACACAGAGACCCCTGTGGCCACGACACACAGAGACCCCTGTGGCCACGACACACAAAGACCCCTGTGGCCACGACACACAGAGACCCCTGTGGCCACGACACACAGAGACCCCTGTGGCCACGACACTCAGAGACCCCTGTGGCCACGACACTCAGAGACCCCTGTGGCCACGAAAAACGCTGTGGGCCCGGTGGGGTGCGCGCAGGTCTCGCTCGGGTTGTGCCGCAGCGAAGCAACCGCGCCGGGAGGGCGCCCGAGTCGACGACGTTTCGCATTCAGAGCACGCCCGGTGCGGCACGCGGCTGCGACTCAGCAGCCTTGGCGGAGGGAGGGAGGAAGGGAAGTGAGGTGCGAGGGGGGGTGGGTGTTGTGTGCGCTGGGGCGAGTCGTTTGGTGCGAGAGAGCGCAGAGTGATCCCCTAATCGGGCGGCACGACGAAGCAAGAGGTGCAGACACGACAACAACAACAACAAGACCGATCCACGGCAAACGAGACCCACCCCACCCTCGCCACTCCCGCCGCGTGCCCCGTTGACAACCTCGGATATGTACAGGGTGGTCCAGATGTCCTGTGACTCCCTACGGTGTCGAGATGTTAACTACTTCGCCTGCTAATACAGGAGGTCGTGGTTTCAATCCCGATCACGTCGATCGCTGTATATCTGGAGCTTGCGTGTTCTCCCTGTGGTCACCTGGATCTTTCTCCGGGTCCTCCGGTTTTACCTCCACATTTAGTATCACGCGTTTAGAGTACTTGGCTGTTTTACTTTTCCACGTGACAAGCCACTTCGTTGAGCTATCATTTGTGGCCAGGTTGCTTCTGAATAAAGAGCTATGTAGCTCAGTGGGCCTGACCTGGTAATATAACATAATTAGAGATTTGACCCCATTTGCATATTCATTCATGTTTTCAAATAAACCTTACTTAATAAAAAATATATTACGTCTTGGAGAATTAAAGAGGGTCACATGACATCTGGCTTCCATGAGAGATTCATGAGAATCATGAGAGATTCGTTCATGAGGCTATCCACATATACAAGCACAGAGACAATTTCAACCGAGAAGATGGATTCTATCTTAGCAATCATTGGAAAGATTTGATAAACCATTTCAGGTCTTAATTGATTGTTCACGCTTACAGTGGCTTTCAGACAGCATACATTATATATATAAAAAAAATTCGTCTCCCCCCTCCTCTTTTCAGAATATAGATGGACTAGTCCTGGGTAAACTGCCAAATCGCTGCGCGTGGCGCTAACGTTTTTTTTATAAATAAATAAATGCGCCGTTTAAAAATACATTTATGCGAACAAACACACCTGAAGACGACCGTTTGAGTTATGGTCGAAACGTCGTGAGATTTTTTTATTGTTTTATATATATTTTATTATTTTGTTGTTTCCCTTCAACGTGGTGACTTTACCGAAAAAACTAAGAATATGAATTACTGCAGTCACGAAAGCTTTAAATCAAAATCTGGACTGCTGTTTGTCTTTCAGTTTATTCTCCGTTCCCCGCACCTCTGATTGGCATGGTTGGCTGTGTACGCTGCAAAAGAAGTTCAACATACATACGGACCACCCTGTGTACATCCTCACTAATTCACGCGTGTGGGATTTGAAATATCCCTTCTTCTCAACAGTGTCCTTTTGAAAGTGCTGCGGTGTAACATCAATTATTAAGTGGACAAGCGTTGCAGCCGGAGTGAACGAGTCTGTGAAACCACTGGTAAATGAACCTCGCAAAATATATATATTTTTTATTTTTGTTTAACCCTTGGAGGTGAAACATCTACACGACTACTGCACATGTGTACATGTCAATCCACTGCTGGATGATTTCCGGCCCACGCTGCATGGGTAATCTTTGTGGTAATTGCTGGGGTCACGATTCACAGCACGCTGGTCGGTATAACCACGGAAACGTTGGGCCCACGGTTACAATAACATGTCAACGTTGACACAACGTTGACACAACGTTTGCATGTTTACAGTACAACAATGTATTTTTCTGCACTTCCTTCTGCTGCCCACAATGTAGTCCCACAGCAGCCTATAACCATGCATGTGGTGCTCGTTGATATAACTACAATACATACGTACCCAGTCTCAAACCCTCTCAACGCCCTGGGATATGACAAGATCGGGCACGTGTACATCACGGCTAATTTGGTCATTAGCTGTGAGATATGTACAGCACATGAGAGAAAGTAATTTCCACAGTTCGTATAATTTCTTCAAGAGTGCTTTTTACAGGATCCCCAATTTATAGAATGTACAGAAAAAAGCACTCATATTTTAAATAAGTATACAAAACAATGTTAAACAACACCTGCAAGTTTTGATTTAAAGCTTTCGTGACTGCAGGGATTCATATTATTGGTTGTTTCGGTAAAGGCACGTAGAAGGGAAACAATAAAATAATAAGAAATATAATAAACAATAAAATCCTCACGACGTTTCGACTGCAACACAAGCAATCATCATCAGGTGTGAAAGTGTTAAACTGAGTGACAACTAATGTGGCCACAAAATACTGCACATTGAAGATGCATTGCAGCATTTGCAAATATGAAAGCACGTGGTATCATTGGAATGCATATGTTGAATATCAATGTTTTGAATTTTTAAAAAATAATTGTTATTGAAATAACTTTGGAGACGTGTGTTAAGTTGCAGCGGCAACAGGGATGTGTAATTGGAGAAGAAGTCCCTTTAGAGGTTTAGGAGAGCCGGAGGTTAAGGAATAGATCCCGACCCTGACGCCTGTATATTTGGGGTTTTCATGTTTCGCCCCCATGGTCGCGTGGATTTTTTTCTCCAGCTCCTCCGATTTTTCCCTCCACATTTAGAAAAGTGTTCATTTAGATTATTTTGCTGATATAAATGTCCAAATGATCAGCCACTCTGTTGAGCTATCATTTGAAAACTAAGTTAATACCTCAGTGGGCTTTGTCTGGTAGGATGGGGATGGTTTAGTTCTATTTGTAAGTTTTTGGGTGAATTGTGTTGCCTTTCTTGTACTTTGCACTTCTATCGTGTCTTTTGTACTGTTTGTTGTTGTAACATCCTTACCCGCCCCTACTGGACATCTGTGAAAAAGAGCTGTATAGTTCATCGGATTCCCGCAGTATGAATACAAATTCTCATTCTGATTCTACAAGTGCGCATACTTATACAGTACTGTAATTATATAGCGAGCCGACTGGTTGGACGCGCACTCCTTTTACGCCTGGATTGGCACTTCAATATGATGGGCGACTGATCTCTCATTCGAAGAATTTTACCCCGAAGTTGCCTCGAGATGGTTTCGCTTGGAAAACACGCACACGCTTACTTAATCAAATTAGAATTTGGCCGTGTTCTTTGTTTGTGGAAGCATTTGCGAAAACTCTTGGCACGCTCACAGTTAAGGTTTAAAAAAAACAAATGCAGAACGTGGTGTTTTTTTTTTTAAATCTAGATTGTGATTCGTTATTATGTAGCATTTATGGGCTACCAAAGTGTATGCGGGGGCTGCTGCCCCTCGCCTGTACCGAATTGTCGGGGCCGCCGTCCCCCGACTCCCCCGGTAAGCCCTCGCTACTGCGGGTGCTGCTGCGCCACGCCTCCGCCGTCCTAATCCCGCCATCCCCCGTCTCCTCCGTAGCGGTCGTACTGCTACCCCCCGACTGCTCTGTCGGGTCCGGGCTACCGACCCCCAACTCCTCGCCCCCACCCCCCCCCCCCCCCCCCCTGTACCCCTGACTGTGTTGTCGACCGCGTAGGCATGGCTCAATTAGTGGGCTCGTACGCTTCACGCTTGCGGCGCGCTACGCGGGTTCAGTGGCGGCGCGCTGCGGTGAGCGCGCTCGCGAGGCAGGACTCCGTCCCGCGCGTGAAACAAACGGGTACGGCGCGCCGATGCGTGACTCACGTACGTAAACAAACGGGTACGGCGCGCCGACGCGTGACTCCGTCACACACACGCTCCACGCGCCCAGGCAATAACAAACCCGACGCCGCTACCTGCCCAGCCCCGTACACCAATCACACTCGAGGGAGTTGGGGTCGGGGGTGAGAGGGCAAGGGGCGTCTGCCGTGCGCGCGCCGCTGACTGGAGGGAGCCACTCCGCTCCGATTTAAAGGGCCGTTTAAACAGCCGCGCGTGTACGCGTACACCAGGCGCTACACTCCCTTATTCGCCGCAAACAGCCGCGTATGCGCGCAAACACAAAACACTCCACCTCTCTCTTCGCACTCACAGCGATCACGACACAGTTTTATCCTCTATTAGCGGTTTTATTCCCCGCGAATATCCCGCTAAACTACGTGTGTTCATGTGAGTCAGCAGACCCTAACTAGCCTATCCTTCGGGAATCCTAGGCTCAATCTATCTTGCCTGGCACTTCCCTTTCTTCCTTCTGATCGATTAGCCCAAACTCACCTGTCTCTCACTTACGCTTACTTCCACTCTGATGCGCTGGGAGCTGTAGAAGGGCGATGCTGTGGGTCGTCTCCGTAGAAGATCGTGCCTGGCTGCGCTGAAACTCGTCACACGGACGATCCGAACGGCCGGCTCCAATGCTCCATGGACTTCGATGACTGGAAGAACTCCTCCTTTACTGTCCCAATCACCTGCCTTTTATCCTACCTATCACAAAGGCATTCCGCAGTGCCTGCGCTTGCTCACCCATGCCCTTCTGTCCAATCAGAGGCTGAGATATTCCTGTCCCTTTGACATTCGGATCCCTAATCCTACCTATAACAAAAGGCATTCAGTTGCTCCCGCACCCGTGCCGCCCTGTCCATTCAGAGGCCTGGTTATTCCTGTCCCTTTGTTATTTGGATCCCTAATCCTACCTATAACAGATGCATTCCGAACCGTGCCCCCCTTGGCCTCCTGCCCAATCAGATGCCCGGATTTTCCCGCCTTTTCGGTACTTTGATCATACTCTGGTGACGTCACCGTGGTGGTTTCTTGGACGTCCGCTCTCCGTTCTTCCCGCTATCGGCCCACTGACTCGCGCTTGTGTGTGTGTGCGGTTTCACTCGCGGTGGCTCAACGGCCTCCGCCGTGACCACGTAACTTTAATATCAGGTCACGGCGCCGCGGTGCGGGTCAGCCTCGGGGGTAGATCGCCCAATTTCCCGACCGCAGGAAACCATGAAGTTTGATCCCATTAGGGGCTTCTGGATAAAAACCTGTCGGCCAGATGACCTTCCCTCCCAGCTCTACGTGGGGTGTGCGTGCATTCATGTGGGGGGGGGGGGGGGGTGGCGGCGAGGGGCGTGCCGCGTCGGCGCCGTCACTCCCCGGTGGCGGTGTCACGGCGGTGGGCACGGCCCCGACCGAGAGGCTCCGCTGCGGCGGCACCACAACTGTGTAGAGGGTAAAAAGCGGACGTCTGAGAGAGCACCGGCCTCGGGAGAGTGGCGGGAAATCCGAGGCACCGGTGGCGGTGTCGCGGCGGTGGGTACGGCCCCGACGGAGCGGCCCCGCTGCGGCGGCACCACATGTAACAAAACCCCTTTCTATGCTAGAACATGCCATGTACAGGTCCAGAAAGATTAAAATAAAGTACAGCTCTTAATATTCAACATTTGGCGGTGGTGTTTACGTAAATGACGCTGCATAACATCAAACTATGTTATTGCTATGTTTGTTCTTCCCAGGACATTCTCAGATGTCAGGAGCTTCAGCATCTGCCGTCCCTTCACCTGGTTCGAGTTTAGTTCACCGAAGTTGATCGTCTTTGTTGATCTCCTCGCCGGTGTTCTCGTGATATTTTATGTGGGGTTCGCGATGTTCAGAATATTGAGATGCAATAGCATGGATTACGCGATATGTAATACAATAATTTTTATTGATGTCATCGCTCTTGTCAAGCCACTGCTGCATTAAGGACTCTCCATGCACTGTTGCTGATCATGGGGGTTGTTTTACCATACTCCATGCACATGCTGGTCAATGCGAGTTGGTGAACAGGGGACTTAAGATTTTCAGACATCACTCGCCACTGATGTTAACCATAGCCGGGAATCAAACCTGGTTGGCTGGGTTAATCGCGTTGTTCTCCAATCGTCGCACCACCACTGCACCCCAACATAGAGTGACAATCGGAATATTGGTGTTACCTCCAGAAATCCGATGAGCTATTAAAGCTCTTTTTTCACAGATGTCCAGTAGGGGCGGGTAAGAATGTTTCAACAACAACCAATACAAAAATACGATAGGAGTACTAAGTATAGGAAAGCAAATTACTTAAAAAATATACAACTTAAAATAAATATTTTTCTTAATCTTATCAGGTAACCCCCCCCCCCACCTGTGGTTATGTGCCACTCTGGTCATGTACCGTGATAAATTATGTACCACTTTGTGTGGGAAGCCACCTGCGGTTATATCATGAAGTGATTGGTCCCTGCCGTAGAGAAACGAGAAAATGACACCCACAGCAAAGGAACGTCAACAGAAATGAGTACTAAGAGTAGTAATAGGCGATTTTGGCGATTCCGTACTGTACTGATGATTCCTAACAAGAAATGAAACAAGTATATAGATATTTTTGGTTCTTTTGGTAAAGTCACGCAGAAGGAAAACAATAAAATAATAAAAATATAAAACAATAAAATTCTCACGACGTTTCGACTGCAACACAAGCAATCATCATCAGGTGTGGTTTTCACACCTGTGGTTTTCACACCTGATGATGATTGCTTGTGTTGCAGTCGAAACGTCGTGATAAT